GATCGATTAACAAGGGAGTCCAGAAGTGAGTGGTAATCAACCAACGCAAACGCAACGCTTGCGTGCTTGCATGCTTGTGTGTGTGTGTGTGCCGGAGTGCACAGAAGGATGCAAATTCTTGTAAGTAAAGAAGAAGAAAGTAAGAAACAAATGAAACAGATAAAGACAAAAAGGTTTATGAAATCAGTTAGCCAGAGACAAGTGGAAACGAACGGAGTAAACTTCCGAGAAGTGGAGATTCGGAAAAACGGTTTTTCTACTTAAGAAGGTGTTCACGAAGATTGTGCAAACTTACAAACTCACTCATTCTAAATATTACTGGATATCCAGTGTGTGTGTGTGCCCGTAGACTTGAAATGCCTCCAGAACTGACTGGAGAATTCCAATCACTTCTAAACGTTTAGAAATGATCCTATCAGATTGACAAAGGAGCAGGAGCTTCAAATTGAATTTATATGACAGACTATCATTTTCGGTACACCTTTTCTTCTCTCCATTTGAACACACTGGTAACAGCTTGTCCAGAAGGGACTATGGTGCACTAATTTCTTCACTGGTAAGACAGGTTCGGACAGGTTCCTCTTCGTCAGATTTACGTCGCATTGAGGTTCTGGAAGCTATTTGCTTTCGAGTGTTCTAAACTACTTTTATGAGTGCACAAGTAAGTGTTCCGTTGAGCTCCAGAAGCCCCAAGCACCCAATAATTTCGCGTATTGTTAACTGAGACATGACATGAAGATCTAGTGAAGCCCTCAGGGTAGAACCGTTTTCGAGAAATACACTCATTTGCAAATCAATCTGGTTTTCACGAGAGACTCAACAGAATCTCTCGTTTATGATACTCTACAGGAGAGATTCAGTTGAGTCTCTCGTGAAAACCAAATTGATTTGCAACCTTTTGAGTATTTTCCTTCATGAAAATAGAACCGTTTTCTTTTGGATCTGGAATTGTACGACACAAACAAAACCAGGAAGCGTTATTAAGCCTCAGACCTCAGCTGCAGACCACCAGGTTGATTTGAAACCAACGTTCAATATTTTGCTCAGTCATTGGAATTCACACACTGCCAAATACACTGAGGCTGACACAGTCCGTCGATTAAGAACTTCATTTGATCCCCAAATTGGCGACTTGGTACTGATGGAAGGACGTGAACTATTTGCGTCCACCAGTTCCTCCGCCCTCTAATTGTGTTGTTTCGGCTCAGTGGCTGGAGCTACCCTGCTTCCGGTCTGTGTCGCATCTACGTCCTGTTCTGAGGAAGCACTCGCTTATCCACTTGTGGTCCACTTGCATAAGCTTATTGGTTAACGTATCCGAGACCAGTATTCGACACCAGTTGTGACCGACCACTACCAATTATTGATTAATTACACATGAAGATCCCTTGTGATGCTTCCTTTTCGAAAATAAATTAGCCACTGAAAGAAGTGGAAGAGATATCCTCTGTAAGAAGCGATGCAACGGAGCGAAACTCTGGATTAATTTCGCGAAATATACTAATTTGGATATCTGTTTGGTTTTCAAAGGAGATATTAAACCGAATTTCTCCTTTATCGTATTCTCTTCTTCTATCGAGTTCGCTGCACACAAATCACCTTCATGTTTCAGTCATGTTCCAGAGAAATCTCAGTATGTGTTCTCAAAGAAAACTATTCATAACGTTGCTCTCCAGGTGTCTCCAGCGACTTTATGAGTAATGTTCCTTCCAGGGGAAGTTTGTCTTGCCACGTCTTGACCCTAAGCGTGCTCTATGTTGACTAACTGCCTATGCATGCAGTTCACCTCTGTTATTTGTTCTATTCTCGATTCTCTAACTGATTACCGTTTTCAGTGTTCACGCTCATGCCTCCAAGTAGGATGTCAAAATGACAAGACACTCGACTGTCCTACTCTCCAGGTTTTGTCAATTCGGATGGTAGGTCAGCCTCCTTAATCTCCTGGCGAGGGAAGTAGTGGAGTGGAAAATGCATCGATGAATTAAATGATAATCGTTTCGTATGTGAATGTCTCCACCAGGAGCAAATAGTTCTTTTCTTAGTCCCGAAGTTCATACGAATTCAGCAGCATTTCTTTCATTATGTCTAAATAGATTCATACGAAAACTAGGGGTACATATGGTTGTCTAGACTTAACACACTACTCTTCGATCATCATAAGCGAGGAATTCTGTCAGATTTAACTGAGTCATCTGTCAGAATCAAGTTCTTGTGCAAATAAAAGTAGTTATCGGTACGTGTTTTCCTTTTTCATGGCAAAACACCAGACGTTGACAACAGTATATGGAACATGCAGCACCACAGGGTTCATTGGAATAAACAGCCGAATACAGGTTTGACTAGACTTGGTGTGAAGCATCCGTTTAAGTGGGAAACATCTAGATTTCAAAGCCACAGACAAGGATGCAAAAACCGTGTTTAATTAGTTCCAGGGATGCCGGGAAGGATCTTCGCTTTTTAGAAAAAAAAACGAAAATACTTACTCGCCTCCTTGCTTTAGTTACAAAGAAAATATCTCCGGCCAACTACCGACATCAGCCTCATCAATCCAAATAATTCAGGCCCCTGTCCACAGTGAACTCTAGAGAGATCAGTGGTCAAAGAGGGAACTTACCAGAGGGTCCATGGTTCGAATCCAAGCTCTGCATCTCGACCACTATTGTGTAGGCTAGGGCATCATGGCACTACCTCAACCCTGATGCTTTCTTCGGGTCACATGACAGCTGGACATCGAAAGGTTGGTATAGTAGCAACTTCAAATTAAATAAACCCCCGGAAGTGGACTGTCCTCCCTATAAGAAACTCACCTCCATCGTGAAGAGAAGTGGCCCATCATTTTTTCCTTCCATGCCGGGAAAACCTCCTGTAGCCCAACAAGGAATGGTTGAAGTCCGTGCATCAGTATGCAGGTGAGAAACATGACACATTGCGAACTAAGATGAGACGGAGATAGCTACGAACTCAGTTCATCTATCAGTTAGTGAAGCATTGTCGGATTTCGATCTGGTATCAAGAATGATTAGTTTCCAACAAGTACTCTTATTTGCAAACAAATTTGGTTGTGACAGCAACCATATGAATAGTATGTTACGTTTAGACAAGACAGGGGCTAGGATTCCGAAAGTCAGATTTTGGATCACTGCGTGTGTGCCATCAGATTTGCTGTAGACTGTTGATTACTATCCCATCAACGTTTATCTTCAATGACATTCGCCATATATCAGGACATCTAAACATCGTCGCTGACACCTTATCTCGTCCGAACATTAACTCACTCCATTCGGCACCCACGATCGATCTGCAGCGTATGGCGCAACTACAAAAAGACGAGCGCATCATACTGCCATCATCGGACAAATCTTCGCTACAGATTAGACCGGTAACACTAGAAACAGCACCAGGTATCACAGACTGTGATTTCTTCACATCCGTTCCAAGACCCCTGGTTCCATGCGCAATACGTCGCCTCGTTTTCGACGCGCTACATAATGTAGCACACCCAGATATACGTGCAACCAGTAAACTCATCTCACACCGTTTCGTATGGCCAAATATGAACAACGACATCCGTTCATGGGCAGGAATTTGTCTGGTTTGTCAACGTTCGAAAGTCATTCGGCATACTCACACACTCGTTGACACCTTCTCCCAACCGGACTGCCGATTCGGTCACGTTCACTTGGACATTGTTGGCCCACTTCCCCCATCCAACGGCAATTCGTATCATCTTACTTGCGTCGATAGGTCTACAAGATGGCCTGAAGCCATTCCAATTCCTGATATCTCTGCGACGACGATTGCTCGTGCTTTTGTCACCAGATGGATCTCTATCTACGGTATTCCTTCTTACATTACAACAGACCGTGATTCGCAGCTCGAATCTCAACTCCTCCGGCAATTAACTGAACTTCTAGGTTGCAAACGCATCCGCACCACCGCGTATCATCCACAAGATAATGGCTTATTTGAACGTTTTCACGGACACTTAAAAATGATCATCAAAGCTCATCAGCAACCTAACAACTGGAGTGACCTGGTCCCCCTTATACTGATTTATTTACTATGTTTCGTTCCACAATACAATGTACACCAGCCGAGTTGGTCTTTGGTACATCATTACGAATTCCAGGACAGTTTTTCTCTTCAGAAACCAGATTTCCCTGTGATTCATCAACATACGTCACCCAACTGAAAACGCACATGTCGCGTCTACGCTATCATTATCGACCAATGGTTAACAAACCCTCCTATGTTTCTCCAGATCTCTCCACTTGTGCACACGGTTTCATCCGCTATGACCGCGTCAAACACCCATTACAGCCTCCTTATGAGGGTCCATTCGCTATTGAAAGTCGTTACACCAGATACTTCACCATTCACTTACGTGATAAAACTGATACCGTTGGTATTGACCGCCTGAAACCGGATTATTGATTGATTCACTCTCAAAAGTAACAGACCTACCGAAATGCAAGCTCGAGTCCGGCGCAACAGAATCAACACCAACATCGTCATCAGCCCAAATCACTCCGACCACTAGCACACGCATTACACGTTCTGGCAGAGGCGTCCGCTGGCTGCACCGTTTCGTCGCAACTTAACGATCCCTACAATGAATTGAAAACTAATTTTCACTTTTATTAAGGGGGAGAGTATTTGTTGGTTACCATCCCGTCAACGTGTATCTTCAACCACTTTCACAATTCGGTCACTATCTCATCAATGTTTACCTTCAACCACTCACATAATTTGCTTAACACATGCACACCCACTGTTTCATTCCTGTTTTGATTATGTCATGAACATTCGCCCCACGACGAACCGAGATTATTGGAATCTTCGACTAAGACAAACCATGCAAACGCATCCTCACTCATAACGTAAATGTATATATATGCAGAACAACGAAAACAGGATGCCGACGCTCGTCACTTGACACAGCGCCCTGACCAACGCGCGAATCACTGTGCAGGAAAAGTCTGGGCTCGATATTGTTTTGGATGAAACAACAAGAAACAGGCCAGATTTCAACACTCTGTCAAGACCCGCATTCAATACAACGGCGTCCTACAAACCTCGGCTGTATCTACTACAACTCATCAACCGAAGAACTCGATAAGTCTCTTTCGTTTTGTGTGTTATTCAATTGTACTACAGTGTTTCTGGTAGCCACTGTACGTAATTCTTTATTGTTAGTGTTATTCACCTTCTGATATTACTTCGAGTAAAAGATAATAGCACTAACAAGACCATGTTTTAAAATGTTTCACATGATGATCCGCCATTCAAAAGAAAAAACGTCTCGGTTGACCACCTAATTTCTTTTGATTTGTGGAGCTGAAAGTACTTAAGTCCTCTCACATGAAAACAAGAAAAAAAACACGACATGTTCTATTGGACTTGGGGTTGAGTGGCAGGTTAGAAAAGCTGTTTAAGTCACCTAACGATAGCACTGTGTTTAACTCATGGTTGGTCCGTAGAGATACGTCTTACAATCCGAAAAGTTAGTAGTGAGCCTCCTAGACTGTTCCCGTAGGCATGGTGCTTCAGTTAAACCCATGAAACATTTCAATCAGTTGAAATAAGTTTTGAAGGGACAGGGAAGTCATCATTCAAGAAGGGTTTGGTCAGTGGACAACGTTCTTGTTTTGACACGAATCCGGCGTCACGCCAAGCGAGTAGATTAGCTCGTTCGCCGAGTTTTAGGACAGACGAAGAGCCAATCATCAAGATCTCTTCCAATTTGCACACTGGCACATTACATTCACACTGATCTCCGATTGTTTATCAAAGCCTTCTAGAACGTTGTGACTTTTCTCTACCTGAAGTTGGATACTTGTGTTTTCGTGACTGTGTGAAATCTATCGTTTCACGCGTGTGCTCCAAGTTTAATAATCTCAGTCGGCTGCATAGCTTGCACATCACCTGAGGT